GAGTTTAGAATCATAATTCCAAGGTTGCTGCTAGGAAGAGAGATCTTCAAGAATAAAATGCTGTTTTTGTTAGTGTGGTTTTGTAACCTTACATGGTGGTATGTAATTAATATACATCGTCCTGCCCAATTTGCCTCTACAAAATTCCATCTTGTCCAACTTGCTTTCCATTTGGATATGATTTTTTAAGTAACACACTAAAATCCTCTCTTTACAGAATAATAACATAGAGATAAAACAAATAAATGCGAAACAATTCTTATTAGCGAAAAGTATAATATGTATAGTGTAATATATATTTATACATGTTAACAAGGGAATAACCAAGAAGGTAGAAAGGATAAAAACGTTTGACAAAATTTAAAGCTACATCCTAATTATAAAGTTTTTCATCATTATAAAGATTGGAAAGTCATCTCTTGCAAAAAGATCTAAGGAGAGTATGAAAGTTGGAAAGATGGTCTTCAAGTCTACATAAAGACCACAGAGAATGAGTACCCTGAGAAAATCTGTGCATCATGATTTCTTTAACACGTAAGGCTAAAACATAAAGCGCAGAATCCACAACCATTAAAGCCTGTCTACCATATTAAAGAGGTGAATAAATGTGAGAGTATCTACTCTGTATAAACCTTATGAGTTGGGAATCAAACTGACATATTCCATGTACACTAGCTTCAGGAAAGGGCACCAGGTTCATGAGGAGCATTGTGCCTGAGGAATGCCCTCCGCTTCAGTTTTCTGCTAACCAGCATGCCAGCTGTCTGAGGGCTGGAACTGCTCCCCTTCCCGGTGTGTCCTCAGATGCTGGCACAGATAGAAGTTCAAGAATGTGAGGAATAAAGGCCCTATCTGGTGGACAGCCGTTCACTGACTAACAGGTTAGCCCCGTTAAATTAGTTAGACTGCCAGTCTCTTGTGCAATGGGGGCCATTCCTTTGTTTCTGGAGGTGTCATCGCTGACTGACCCAAAAGAGAGCTGTTAATGCCTAGCTGTGATCAGAACTGCCCCGGCCCTTCACAGGAGTAACACCGGACCCTCGAATGCTGTGACCACCCTTCGTTCTGACATCTCCCTAATTAAGGTATCCCATCAGCTAGCTGGGGTCTGGGAAGGAAGGAGAGTTATTACGGTGTTTGTCCAAGGAAGTGGAAAGTACACAATTCGGATGTCTTCAACTTTCTAGGAATAAATCTACTTAGAAAATCACTTACACCCACAAAAATATTTCCAATGTTCTAACTTACATATCCTAATTGATGAGATGATTCTCTAGTTTTACTAGCGCCAAAAAGGTGACCTATTCTTTGGTTTATGCCAAGAAACCCATAAGGAGAAATGCTGACCTATGATGGTTACACATCATGCTTAATCACTACATTAAATTAAAATACTGTAATATAAAATAACTTAGTCACTGGGCTACTCAGGCAGAACATAACTTACAGAGCCACAGACACACCTACCGAGACACTTGAAATTTCTAAGGAGTCTGGTTCCCAGCTGTGTGTCAAGAGCCAAATCATGACATCAGGTCTTGAGTTGCCCTGGAGAAACTTAGGGCAGGGCTGTCATTGCAAACTGTGCTTGCCAAAAAGAGATTTCCCAAGAGTTGTCTTAGCTTTTTAGTACACCAAACTCCAACAGAAGCCAAGGTTTGCAATGATTTCCTACCCTCCCCGCCCTCCAATCATGACCTTGGGGCAGAATACCTGCCCATCCTGGAATTCTGGAATTCCAGAATTCCAAAAGCTCACTCTTAAAGACTGCTTTAAGGTAAGTATTTAAACCAGAGGAGGGAAAAATGTCAGCACAAGGTTTCCTTCTCTTTGGCCTGGCCTCAGCTAAATGAAAAGCTCTCAAAAAATAATTGTTTATTTTTTCCTGATCTCTTCAGATGGGGTAAAGCAGCAGCCCCTGAGAAGGCCAAATAGCTATGAGAAAAATTACCACTGGGTAGGGTCATAAAAGAATCTCAACAAGGTAAATGGGCTTGCTAAAAGCCTAGGGTTTCCATAATATCTTTTAAAGACCAAATCACATAAGAGCGCTGTCCAACTCCATCACAACCCATAGATAATGCAGTAACGATTCTCTTCTTGCAGGTCTCCAGACATGTCTCTCTCTATTTTAAATCCTCAGTGGTTCTCAGAATCAAACCCTTACCTCCTTCTCTGGGTTGACATCTGCCATTTTCCACCAGAACAGTAGTTCTCACCAGGGGCATTTCTGTTCCCCCGAGAGACACTGGCCAATGTCTTGGGGACATTTTTGGTTGTCACAACCGAAGTGAGGAGAGGAGGATGCTACTAAACATCCTCCAATGCAAAAAGACAGCCTCCCACTACACAAAGACTTATGTAGTCCAAATGTCAGTGGTGTCAAGGCTGAGAACTCTTGCCTCAGCTGTACAAAGCTCTTTGTTGTTCTCTAAACATGTCAGACTTTTTCATATATTTCTGTTCCTAAAAATAAATGGTTTCCTTTACCTGGAATGCCCTGCCCTACTTCTTAGGTCCAAGGAATGACCATTTATCATCCAGGATTCAATTCAAAATGTCATCTTCTCTAAACTGTCCTTTCCAGACCCCTCAGAGTCAGATATGCCTTCTTCTCAGCTTCCAGAGCCTCATTAGAACACTAGCCACACGGCCTCAAAATTATCTGTCACCTGCTGAAAGCAAGACCTAAGCCTCATTCATCATTCATCCCCAGAGTATCCATCTGGTAATCAATTTCTGCTTGCTGAATCAATCAGGGAATAAATGAAAATGTTGCAGATGCACCTAAGATTCTCTAGAAATAATGTCTAAGGGACAACAGTGCCCCAACATCAAAAACAACAGCAGCAAATATTTATTAAATGCTTATAATGTGAATAGGCATTATATTGAGCACCAGAGCACATGTTACCTCATTTCATCCTTGCAACAGCCCTCTGAGTGAGGTAGGTACCATTATCATTAGCATTGTAGATGGGGAAACTGAGGCACAGAGATGTTAAGCCTCCTGCCCAGGGTCACTGAGTCTAGCATCCGAAAGAGCTGATATTTAAACCCAGGTAGTCTGGCTCCGGAGCCTTAATCTTCCAATATTCATAACAAGACAGTTATGCTAACAACCAGTATTTCGGCGGCTCAGAGCCTCTGGCAAACACAAGTGACACCTCCAGAGGATAACTATAGAATGGCCACCAGCTCCTGTGACCCTTCCTGTACACACTACATTCTGGGGTCACACAACTTTCCAACCTATGGAATGCTTCTGGCAGGAGAAACAACCTCTTCACAACATGGAAAGTCACTATGTACTTAGAAAAAGTCATGGTACCATAAAGAAGACATAAGTGCTGCTTTTCCAAAGTACCTCTTACCTTGTTCATGCTGCAGGGACTGAAGTGAGGGATCAGACATGTCACAATGCGAAGCTGTTCTTAAGGATTCTCCTTGTTCCTGTAGTCCTCACTTCTCGAAGCAGACAGCTGCACTGCAAATACAAACGAGAATGAAATCCATAAACTAGTGCTCAGAAAGGCACAGAGCAGTCCTGTGGCCGATGGAACTTTCTGCCATATGGCAATGCTCCATGGCTGCACTGTCCAAAAGGGTAAACACTAGCTACATATGGCTACTGAGCACTTGGAATATGGCTAGTTCAACGGAGGCCTGAATTTTTGACTTTGTGATTTTAATTAAATTTAATTGTAAACAGTCACATGTGGTTAGTGGGTACCATATTGGACAGTGCAAGTCTAGAGAGTCAAATCAAGAGTGCTGAGGCCACAGACACTGGACATGCCAGTGGCCAAGGAAAAACTACATATTATTTGCTCAGAGTGACCGCAGATACACAGGGACAAGAACACTCATTCATTTAAGAACTATTTTTTGAGTACTTATTAGATGCCGGTTACTGAGGATATAGTGATAAAGCCAGAGCGGTTAGTTATTTAAGAGTTTCTAGTTCAAGCTTTGACTTCCTTAGGAAGGTAAAGAACCTAGCATGTGAGCAGCACCTACTGAGTGCCAGACCTCAATGACTTCCCTGCTGCCCACAAGGAATAATGGAACAGAAAGGCATTTGTTAGAGCCTGACTATATGATTGCCAGGGCTTCATGGAGAACAGAACCTTCCACAGAGCTCCTGGGGAGGCAGTATGCCAGATAGGAATTCAGGGGGTCAGTTTTCCAAGGGCTAAATGAACCAGACAATCCGACTGTCCCTCAAATAAAATAAGGGTCCACGGTTTTATCTATGCTATTGGTTCTTTAGGTAGGTGTTTTGATTTACTTGAATTATATTTTAGAGTAAAACAGTTATTGTATGGTTCAAGGGTTCTTAATTTGTCAATTATTAAGAAAAAACAGAAAGAAAATATCTTCGAATACTTACTGAACTAAATTTGTGGCCATTTCTTTTGAAAGATATTTATGGATCGCTTTGAGAGGAGAACAAAACATTGCAAGGTTCCTTATAATCACCTAATTTCTGTGTTATTTTTTCAGATTGCATCTAGGAAGCATTAATCTAGCTGAACCTTTCCATGAAAACTGGAATTGGAGGTTTAAATGGAACCGCAGTGCTTTTAAAATGTATATAATTTTTAATTATAATATAATAACAATATATAATGTTCAACATGAAAAGGAAAAAATACTCATAATCCCACTAGCCCACTATAATCACCTTTAGTTCTTAGCAATCGGCCTTTCTCTATTGGAGAGTGACATGAGGCCCAGGTACATCCGCTGAGTGGAGGACACATAAAGTTCAAAGACTATATTCCCCATAGTAATATCTTTTGCTGTTAAGAAAATGATTTAACAATTTATATTTTCAAACGATAAACTTTTTATAAATAAGAAGACAGGGACAGGAAATTGCAGATCACTCCCTGGCTATTTGAGACACATCGACTCCAAAGAAAATACCACATTCGGTCATAGTAACAACATATTTTAACAATGATGTACAACATGGACAGACTCTGGAATTCAACTCTGAAGCCTAAATACATACAAACACCTCCATATTTACATGATGCCTGAGTAATCACTGATTCAAAGTCAGAAAAATTCAATAATTCTAACCAATCTTAAAGTGACTGACAAAAAATTATGTATCTAACTTTTACTCTTGAATTTCCAGAAGCAGTTGCTAATTAATTTCTGAGTCTTAAAGCAGAACTCTATGTTGTTTGGGGTTAAATACATTTATCTGATCCATTTGAAAACTACGACCCAGCACTTAACTGAGAAGTTTGCCCAAATGCCTTATAGAGGTGCCTGATGTCACAATTCCATTCAAATGTATACACTGATATCAACCCAGGAAAAGTGGGTATGAGAAGATAATAATAAACAGACAAGGGTACTTGAACACAACTTCCCCAAGGAAATTCTACCCAGTTTCAGTGATACCACAATCCCCATTCCCTCAGA